AAGATAAAGTCCGAGATCATATAATTAGTCTTGAGCATATAAGAACAGAAAAGATGCTCGCGGATCCGCTTATAAAAGGCTTACCACACAACGTGTTCAGAGAACACTTAGCCGTCATGAGTTTAAGGGAAAAGCCTATGATTCCTAGATAATAAGGGCCTAGTTAAGAATCTGTTTCTAAACAGAGATGTGCATTGTAGCTGTTTAATCTAATGGCAACTGACCATGACGATGAGACACGCTCTATACAATGATCTGTGATGGAATGAGAACAAGAGAAAGTAAGTATGTTAAGTTTAAGTTATAAGTGAGATCAAGGGGGAGAATGTTAGTTGATCTCCACCAATTGGCCCAATAGCCAATTGGACCCTTAAATCCGCGCCCTGATCGGGGGCGCCCAACCCTAATATGGTGGGTGGACCCCCGTCGCACAGCGTCATAAATAGGAGGTGGGGCTGGGGCGCTAAGGACGAGGTTCGCCTGAACCGCCTAGCACCCCATTTACAGTCCTAAACCCTAATCGATCACAGAGGGGGCGCTGCCAGCGACGGGAAGCACCACCACCCGCCAATGCTGCCACTGCACCGCCGCCCTTCGACTCTGCACCACCACCGGGTCTTCACAAAGCACCGTGATGACGAGCCCGTCTTCCTTCAAGGCGGCCGATGGTTTGCACCCCCTTCACCCGTCTCTCTCTTACTCTATCTATTAATCTTGTACTAGTAGATGTTCTAGGACTGACTGTTTACTCCAAAAATAAGTAGACATGCTAGATCTACGGCTAGTGATCCTGTTTTAGTCTTTCACCAGCAACTTGCGCCCGCGCTCGCATGCCAAAGCCAAAGCGATTCCCCATGTCCCCTGCCGCGTCGCGCCGTGGCGTCGCTAGAGACGAAAATCCATGCACGCATTGCGTGCGCTCATCCTTGCCGCCTTATCTGTTTCCTCCTACCGTGCATGCACCATCACTAGGCGCACGCTTCCACTTTGTGTGTTTGAGCTGGTTTTTCAGCTCGTGCGTCTTCAGTGCCACTGGTTCAAATTTTTTTTATTTTTAGCCCTTTTTTTAAAATTTTTTCACAAATATGCCCCTAGAGGAAAGATTTCAAAATCTGGACCCTTAGCTCGGCACCAGCGTCCCTGGCGCTGAGATCTTGGGCTCGAAGCAGACATGGCAGTGACATGGCGGGCATCTCGGCGCCAGTAACCCTGACGCCGAGCCCAGCGCCGTAGATCTTGGCACCGAGGTGGTGTTTTAACCTCGGGCCCAACCTTCCTGTCCGAGCCTTCTTCCTCTTCTTTCTTCTCCCTCTCGGGTTTTCTCTCTCCCCACTTCGCCCTATCTCATGAATCGGCATATTGGTCCTTGAAAACTTTGATTTGATCCATAGATCTTCGAGAGCAAGGTATCCTCGCTCCCCTTCTAGTTTTTTCGCATTGATCCAGTATATATTTGTCGGATTTTTCAACCTAAGAATCGTCATTACTTAGGGTTTCATTATATCCCTCAATATTTGTATTATACAACCGTAAGATGATGCTAAGGCGTGGAAAAGCTAGCAAACCTAGGTAACCGCAGCGCATGTAGTTATGTTATAGGTTCATTGTTGTGCATCAAATGGGAAACCCTAGGTTTAGGGTTTAATGTTAATTGCTTTTGTTTCTTAGAACGAAATTGGTTGTATTGTAGTTATGGTTCTCGTTAACATTAATTTGTGATGTTCTGATTTTGTTTGTTAAATTACATCCGTTTTGTTAGATGTAAGAAACGTATCGGGAGGAGTTTTGGCGAAAAAGGGGTCGTCCTCGAGAATTATACCCCGATGCGTCTAGCAAAGATGCCCCCGTCCATCCTGACCTTCCTGTCCCTAACTGTGACTGTGGTTTCCCAGCCGACGTTTTTCAATCGAAACATCCGGACACAGCAGCGCGGTGCTTCTACACATGCAGTCATTTTAATGTAAGAAATTGTTTTCACTATCTTTTTTTCTTTATTTGTGTAAGTATGCTACTAATATTTTGTTGAAATCTCGTTGTGTAGGACCATGAGAGGTGCTACTAATATTTTGGTGGAATCTCGTTGTGTAGGATCATTCGCCTTAGGATGTTGGGAGGAGAACCTAGGTGCAGTACACCATCAACTACAATGCCATCATCTCCAAGGCAATGCAGCTCCTCCCGAGCCCTTGCAACCATCTCACTAAATGAAGGCCTATCATTGAATAGCACAGACACGCTTTGCATGTCAACGAACTCAACATATCCATAGCGATCGTATTCAACGATGCCTCCATAATATATAGTCACTAGGTTATCCATCTAGTTCAAACACATAACGAAACACATGTCCTTTAGTCCAAATTAGACGATATTTAGTACCTAACAAGTACTTTCCAACTACAAACTAAGTAAATAAGATAATAACTACATACATAGATACAGTGTACTAACTAAATAGCTAGATCCTATTTAGTTAACTAAATATATAACTACCTATCTAAGTAGCTATCTAATTGTATTTATGTACCTATGTATCTATGTTCCTATCTATCTACATATCTATCTCACTAGATCACTAACTAAATCAACTACCTAAGTCATCACATTAACTAGTAAATAATAAATGCCAAAACTACTACACTACAATCAAAGCTAACTAAGTACGCACATTACAAAGTCATAATTTTTACCAGTCCGACGACGGAGTCGCGGACGTCGACGGAGTCGCAGCGGACGCCGGGCTTGGGTCAGTCCGACGAGCCGGGCCGGTGGTGGCACGGCCGGGCGCTGCAGGTGCCGAGGCCGGCGAGGGCCCGGCCGAGGACGGCGGTGGCGCACGGCGGGCGCGGGATGCCCGGCGCTCCGCGCGGCGAGGCCGGCTCGATGGGCGCGGGCGGCACGGGGGGCGCGGCTGAGGCTGGTGGTGGCGGGCGGCACGGTCACGGTCACGGCACCGGCGCGGCGGGGCGCGGCCAAGGCGGCCGCGGGCGGCACGTCGGGCGAGGCGAGGGCGCGACGCGGGCGCAGGGACAGGCGAGGGGACCGGGGCGCGGGCGCAAGGCCACGGGGCGCGGCGCGGCACGGGCGGCCGGGCACGGAGACCGGCACGGGCGCGGGGCGCGGGCTCGGGCGGCCGGGGGCTAGAGAGGGCGCGGGCAGTGGCGACGACGGTGCGCTGCTCGGGCGAGGGAGGTGCGAGAGAGAGAGAGGGAGAGGAAGAGAGAAAGGATTGGGCCCATATGTAAGAAAGGTTCGGCGCCAGGAACCCTGGCACCGAGATCAGCGCTAAGATCTATGGCGCCGAGCTCGGCGCCAGGGTTACTGGCGCCGAGATGCCTGCCATGTCACTGCCACGTGTACTTCGAGCCCAAGAGCTCGGCGCCAGAAACGCTGACGCCAAGACGTGTAAGGAGATAAGGGTCCAGATTTTGAAATCTTTCCTCCAGAGATATATTTGTGATTTTTTTTAAAAAAAGGCTAAAAATAAAAAATTCAGGCCAACGGTGGGGGTCAGTGCTTGCCTCCACACCGCTACTAGCTGCTCGCGATGTCTGTCAGGTGCTGCTGCTATGATCACGGGAGGCCCTTTTTTTCTTTTCTTTTTGTGAGATCGATAGTGGAGAGAATCGGAGAATAACATGAGCTTTCAATACCAAGGAGACCTTTTGACGTAGACCGACCAAAACAATATATACTACTTGTAAGACTTGTAACAATTGTTAAAATATCCTACCTCTTTTTTTAGATGCAATCTGATGTTTGGGTGATAAACGATGCTTTCAGTGGAAGCCAACTAGCACTCCTTCCCATCGCCATGCATGGGCCCAGTTTGGCCATCGCCCTGGTTTCTAGCTAGCCAAGCATGAGTACGTGCTTTCTGAGGAATGGTCCAACAAGTGATGCTGCCTATCCAGCCGGGCCTTGCCCTTGTATCTTTGCGAAATCTTCCCTGCGACCTAGATAGATGCGAAGAGGCATTTTGCTCCTACTGATACTGACCAGACATTTTAAGATTCCGTGTTGCACACCCATGAAATTGTTTCTTATTGGAAAAGAGGTCAGAGTGATCCATGCTTTACGACAAAGCAAGAAAGCTAACACGCCGCATTCGCCATTCAGAAATAATTCTCTTGCAAGTATGACCATCGTTTTTAACTTGCAGGAGACCTTCAGAGGCAAGGTATCCTGTTTCCTGCAAGCAACTAAGCAAATCCATCCAATAACTCCGACTGTTGTTTCACTGATACGGAAAATGTTCAGAACTTGGCGATATGCCGATATCATATCCTAACATTTTCCTGAATCTGAAGTCTGAGCGCGTGTTCAGTTCCACCCCAAATTTTCAAAAAGTGCTACAGTACCTATCACATCGAATGTTCGTGGCCCGTGCATGAAGCATTAAATGTAGACGAAAAAAACTAATTGCACAGTTTGGTGGGAAATTACTAGACGAACGTTTTAAGCCTAATTAGTCTATGATTGAACACTAATTAACAAATAAAAACAAACGTGCTACATTAGCCCCAAATTCCAACCTCCTGGAACTAAACACGCTCTGAACTCAAAACCCCCCAAACGCAAAGATGAACTGACAGAACTGAACTTCTGCATACACAGCGAAACGGTGAAGCCTCATCTCATCTCTTTTCCGTGGCTGGCTTGTCCAGAAAGCGCGCTGCGGCACGCCGGAGTGTTTCTGTGTTTGGCAGGAAGTTTCGGCGTTTTTCCGGTATCCATTCACGTCGAGCCGTCGAGGCCATCATCACGCATGTCGGCACGGCAGCCGTATCTGAATTCCTGTACAGCAATCACAGTACCGCGGCGTCCAACGAGTCGACGGCTGCATGGCATGTCTGCATCGCCTCATCCAGTCGTCCGTACCGCATGGTCCCGTCCCGTCCTCACCTCTCGTATAATTCCTGCCACATGCCAAATCAAACCTCCCTCTTCCGTCGGGCGTTGACGCCGCTGGGAAATGCATTGACTTCACTTCACAGCCGATGGCGATGGCACGGCCCCGCGCTCGTCTTTATAAGCTTGTCACTCGTCAGACTCCACAATCGATCACATGGTGCCTTGGAGATAGTAAAATTGCAAGTGGAATGGCATCCTTCAAGAACACTTGCTCTTACACTCCAGTGTCAAATGTCGCTGCGGTGCTAGCAATAGCGGTGCTGGTCTTGGCGGCTCCGGCGGCGGCCTCCGTCCCCGACGCGTCCGTGTCCGTGCATCTCGAGGCGTTGCTGGCGTTCAAGAAGGCCGTCACAGCCGATCCCAACGGCACGCTGTCCAGCTGGACGGTGGGGGCAGGCAATGGCCGCGGCGGCTTCCCGCCGCACTGCAATTGGACCGGCGTGGCCTGCGACGGCGCCGGCCACGTCACCTCCATAGAGCTCGTGGAGACTGGGCTCCGGGGCACGCTCACGCCGTTCTTGGGGAACATCTCGACGCTCCAGCTCCTCGACCTCACCTCGAACCGCTTCGGCGGTGGCATCCCGCCGCAGCTCGGCCGCCTCGACGAGCTCAAGGGACTCGGCCTCGGCGTCAACAACTTCACCGGCGCCATCCCTCCAGAGCTCGGCGAACTCAGGAGCATACATGTGCTGGACCTCAGCAACAACACGCTCCGCGGTGGCCTCCCAAGCCGCCTCTGCAACTGCTCGGCGATGATACAGTTCAGCGTCTTCAACAACGACCTCACCGGCGCAGTCCCTGACTGCATTGGTGATCTGGTCAATCTCAACGAGTTGATACTCTCCCTCAACAATCTTGACGGCGAGCTGCCGCCGTCCTTCGCGAAGCTCACGCAGCTGGAGACGTTGGACCTCAGCAGCAACCAGCTCTCCGGCCCGATCCCGCCGGAGATTGGCAACTTCTCGAGTCTCAAAATTGTCCAAATGTTTGAGAACCAGTTCTCCGGCTCCATCCCGCCGGAGCTTGGGCGGTGCAAGAACCTGACCATGCTCAACATGTACAGCAACCGCCTCACTGGTGCGATTCCAAGCGAGCTCGGGGAACTCACCAACCTCAAGGTGCTGCTCCTGTACGGCAACGAGCTCTCGTCGGAGATTCCCCGCTCGCTCGGGCGATGCACGTCGCTGCTTTCGCTCCAGCTGTCCAAGAACCAGCTCACTGGGTCCATCCCGACCGAGCTCGGCAAGCTACGGTCGCTTCGGAAACTGATGCTCCACGCCAATAAGCTCTCCGGAACAGTGCCGACATCTCTGATGGATCTCGTCAACCTGACATACCTGAGTTTCAGTGAAAATTCCCTCTCGGGCCCTCTTCCGGCGAACATTAGATCACTCCAGAATCTTCAAGTGCTAGTCATTAACACCAACTCGCTCTCTGGCCAAATTCCGGCGAGCATTGCCAACTGCACTTCCCTGTATAACGCGAGCATGGCGTTCAACGAGTTCTCCGGGCCTTTGCCTGCCGGCCTTGGCCGACTACAGAACCTCGAATTCTTGTCCTTGGGGGACAACAAGCTGTCCGGCGACATACCGGAGGACCTTTTCGACTGCGTCAACCTCAGGACGTTAGACCTGGCTGGGAACAGCCTCACCGGCAGCCTGAGCCCTCGCGTCGGCAGGCTCAGCGAGCTCAGCTTGCTGCAGTTGCAGGGTAATGCTATGTCCGGGGAGATACCAGAGGAGATCGGCAACCTGACGAAGCTCATCGCACTGCAGCTCGGGGGAAACCGCTTTGCCGAGCGCGTCCCAGCGAGCGTCTCCAACATGTCGTCCCTGCAGAAGCTCACGCTGCAGCAAAACTGCCTAGACGGCGCGCTGCCCGACGAGATCTTCGGGCTGCGGCAGCTCACTATCCTCAGCGTCGCGTCGAACAGGTTCGTCGGCCCGATCCCCGACGCCGTGTCCAACCTGCGGTCTCTCTCCTTCCTCGACATGTCGAACAATGCGCTGAACGGCACGGTCCCTGCGGCGGCGGGAAACCTCGACCAACTCCTCACGCTGGACCTCTCCACAACCGCCTCGCCGGCGCCATCCCCGGCGCGGTGATCGCGAATTTGAGCACCCTGCAGATGTACCTCAACCTGTCGAACAACATGTTCACGGGTCCGATACCGACCGAGATCGGAGGCCTCACGATGGTCCAGTCCATCGATCTGTCCAAAAACCGGCTATCCGGTGGTGTCCCGGCGACGCTGGCCGGGTGCAAGAACCTCTACTCGCTCGACCTCTCCGCCAACAACCTCACCGGCGCCCTGCCTGCCGGCCTCTTCCCCCAGCTCGACGTCCTCACAAGCCTGAACATCTCCGGCAACGAGCTAGACGAGGACATCCTTCAAACATCGGTGCACTGAAGAACATACAGACGCTGGACGGACGCGTCACGGAACGCGTTCACCGGGGCCATACCGGCGGCGCTGGCGAACCTGACCAGTCTGAGGTCTCTGAACCTCTCCTCGAACCAACTTGAGGGTCCCGTGCCGGACTCCGGTGTGTTCTCGAACCTGAGCATGTCGAGCCTGCAGGGCAATGCTGGCCTCTGCGGCTGGAAGCTTCTCGCTCCCTGCCACCACGCCGGAAAGCAGGGGTTCTCGAGGACAGGGCTCGTGGTCCTAGTGGTGCTGGTGCTGGCCGTGCTGTTGCTATTGCTGCTTGTGACGATTCTCTTTTTTGGCTACCGGAGGTACAAGAAGAAGAAGGGAGGCTCTACCCGTGCAACCAGTTTCTTGGAGGACTTCGTCGTGCCGGAGCTGAGGAAGTTCACTTACAGCGAGCTGGAGGCCGCCACCGCCTCGTTCGACGAAGGCAACGTCATCGGTAGCAGCAACCTGAGCACGGTCTACAAGGGCGTGCTCGTCGAGCCCGACGGCAAGGTGGTCGCCGTGAAGCGGCTCAACCTGGCGCAGTTCCCGGCCAAGTCCGACAAGTGCTTCCTCACCGAGCTCGCGACTCTGAGCCGCCTGAGGCACAAGAACCTGGCGCGCGTGGTCGGGTACGCGTGCGAGCCTGGCAAGATCAAGGCTCTGGTCCTGGAGTTCATGGACAACGGAGACCTCGACGGCGCGCTACACGGCCCGGGCAGGGACGCGCAGCGGTGGACGGTCCCGGAGCGGCTGCGCGCGTGCGTCTCGGTGGCGCACGGGCTGGTGTACCTGCACACCGGGTACGACTTCCCCGTCGTGCACTGCGACGTCAAGCCGTCCAACGTTCTCCTGGACAGCGACTGGGAGGCTCACGTCAGCGACTTCGGCACGGCGAGGATGCTGGGCGTCCATCTGACGGACGCCCCCGCGCAGTCGGCGACGTCGTCGGTGTTCCGGGGCACCGTCGGGTACATAGCGCCAGGTAATCTACATGGTGCTCTAGCGCAATTTCTGGTGGCTATTTCTGCAAATTTCTTGGCACTTCTGCTAAAAACGTTTTCTCTGTGTGTCCAATCCAATCACGCAGAATTCGCGTACATGAGGACGGTGTCGCCGAAGGCAGACGTGTTCAGCTTTGGCGTCCTGATGATGGAACTCTTCACCAAGCGACGCCCCACCGGGACGATCGAGGAGGATGGCGTGCCACTGACACTGCAGCAGTACGTGGACAACGCGATCTCGAGGGGCCTCGACGGGGTGCTCGACGTCCTGGACCCCGACATGAAGGTGGTCACCGAGGGCGACCTGTCCACGGCGGCGGACGTGCTGAGCTTGGCCCTGTCGTGCGCCGCGTTCGAGCCGGCGGACCGGCCTGACATGGACAGCGTGCTTTCAACCTTGCTGAAGATGAGCAAGGTCTGTGGAGGAGACTAGATGCCTGCTGCAAAACGCGAACTGAAATTCGTGCCGTGCAGCCGCATCTGATCAAGCAACGGGAGAACCCTGCCGATCTGCTGGAGTGCCACACGGACGGGACGCCAAAATGTTAGATTTGGGCTGCTCATGTTTGCACGTGTAATGTTAATCTGTTCAGAGTCAGCATAGAGCTAGATTCCAGGCTACAATAAATATAGTGAATTTTATGTGCCCTATGAATGGTTCGCTGAAATCAGTCTAGCCCATGCTGCCTGACGGTATGGGCCTGAAGTGGTAGCAGAAGTCCTGCTTTTGACTCTTCATTTTCAGTGCCGCAACATACCTGCAGACGCAGAAGAATGGAAGCTGAAAGATTCGGCCAAGTTGTGGTGGGATGATATATCAGGCCTTGTTTAGTTGTTCCTACTAAAGTTTACTTCTTATCCCATCGAATATTTGGACACATGCATGAAGTATTAAATATAGACTAAAAATAACTAATTGTACAATTTACGACTAATTTACGAGACGAATCTTTTAAGCCTAATTAGTTCATATTTTGACAATGTAGTGCTACAGTAACACATGTGCTAATGATGGGTTAATTATGCTTAATAAATTCGTCTCGCGGATTATGTTTTTTATTAGTATCCGAACACCGCATGCAACACCCCCACGTGACACCCCATGTGACACCCCTAAAATTTTAGGCTCTGGATTTAGACAAGGCCTTATTCATCTCATTGGATTGAATGCAAACAAAAGTGCCCATCACATCAAACATGATAATGTGAATTCTCAGTCCGAGAGGCAAATGTGTCTCTCAAATTGCCGGCAATAGCTCATTGGTGGGGAGAAGAATGTCCATGAAAAAAAAACTCTCTCCTCTCTCTCTCATAGAGAGAATGATAGTTTGGCTATGGCAATACTTTGTGATTGCATGCTGAAACTGCAATAATATCTTTGTGACGCACTGGATTTGAACTAGCCATGTTCCTCTGATAATCAGAAAAAGCAGACAGTAGCACACTGCTGTATAGATAAACACAGACGCCATCTATCAGCCTTTGCATGAACACAACATGAAGGGGAATCGAACGGTGAGATTTAGATTGCAAAATGAGCAGCATCACAGTCACAACGTTTTATTTAATAGCTAGTTAACTACAACACATTCATGGGCTTCTCTCAGGCGAACCATGCTGCAGGTCCCAGACTGAACACTCTCTCCTGAGTTCAAGGCTGCACGGTGTCAAATTTTGTCATCAGGAGCACATCACTCCATGAAGTTATACGAGGAACTCCTCCCAGAAATCCAGCCAGTGTTGTGGCTCGTGCTAGGTAAGCCACCCCTCTGTTCCTGAATCAGAGGTAAACTTCTCATGAGGCATGATGAGTAGCTAGCACTGTTCAGGTAAAAGCTGACAGTTCTGAACTATATATCCCTGATCTAGCAGCTTAAAATTTCATATTTTCCACAAAGAAAAAAATCTTAAATTTTGAAATGCATGAAACAAGAGAAAAGGAAAATGAAGACAAGAACACGCTAAAATTAACCTTGATAGCCATGCAGTTTGAACTTTGAACCTCTTACCGGCGTATAGAGTTGCAATTTCGGCGGCCTGAGGAAGTTCTGAGGTGGCTCAGAAGGGTGCAAGTTCTGCATCTGGCTCAAGAAATCTGACTCGACGTTAGATTGTCGCTGGGGGTTGGCTTGAGTTATCTGAAATTGCCGGGGCTGCTGCCCGGAGGGGCGCAACGGAGGCATCTGGGCAGGGTCAGCCGTGATGTAGTGCATGTATTGCTGCAGCTCAGGAGGAACCACCGGTGCCATGCCCTTCCCCATGACCAGCATCTGTGTGCATATATGACATTGTGATGATCAGAACATCCATGGATGAATTGCATTGGCAGCTTATTACATCTTCAGACTATATATACTACTATAGCACCCGTAAGATCTGGAGGCTGAATAAATAAAAACAGGAAACGATGCAGGAGAGGAAGATAAGAAAAATAAATATGTCAAGTGTATCCAACTTGTGCATATGATATGATGTCATTCAGTACCTGAAGCTGTAGCTGAAGGGATTTTAGGTAGTCGATCGCTTCATCTAGCATCGAAACTTTGTCGGTCTGAAACAAGCTATTCTGATATCAAACGAAAATAAAACAGCAGAAGAGGTATGGTGGAATAATTAAAATTAAGACGCAACACATGTTACCTTGGTGCAGTTTGGAAGAAGCTCCTGTAATGCTTTCAGCTTCTCGTTGATCCTATCCCTTCTCCTCTACAAATGTTCCAAATAAAAGAGATCAAATGCCGACAATTGGTCATGATCCGTCCATATATATGCATGATCGATAACAGCCTACCCTTTCTGAAAAATTGTGGAACTCAGCAGATCTGCTTCTGCGGGTGGTGGGGGGAGTAGACCGTCTTGGAGCACTGCCATCTTCCATGAGCTCTTGACTATCTTGTTCACCAGCTTTCTAGCAATAAGATACGAAATGCATTAAGAGCTAAAAACTTGATTCTGAACAAGAATGATGATCAAACTTTCTTTTAAAAAAAACGGACGAGGGATGATCAAACTTCCTGAAACATATATGAAATGAAAGTAAAAGCAAAGGCTGAAAGCTATGTTTCCTCCTTGCAGTACCGTTGTTTGCGGTGCCTGCCTTCTACTTGGCTACCTCCATGGCCTCCTCCTCTTATGAATCCATTGAGACTTGCGTGCCTGACTGGTCCAGCCCTAGGCTAGCCTAGAAATGGAGGGAGCATATGAGAGCTTTCTCGATGACATGATGGCCTGGTCCGTTCGACCCACCAACCTTTGCCCCTGGATACTATTTATGCCATCTGATTTCTAAGCTTTTGCGTCATGGCAGGATTGGGTGACTGTACCTATATATACCCTTATCTTTCACCGGCCTTGGAATTTCTTGTTTGGACTGTAACCCGATACCATGTATCTGAGTCTCTGACGGTAGCAAGCCTACGGTTATATGTAGCATGCCCATTTGCATTTGGCCAGTCGTCCCACCTACCTTCCCAGGGAATGGCTCAAACTTTTTTCGTGAGCAAGGAATGGCTGAAACTTGACGTGCAAATAAAGAGACCATGCTGCACCGCAAGTCTGAACCTATTGCTGCGCGCTGCAAAGTACTCAATTAAGCACAGTGCCTGTTTGTTCACTAGCCAGTAGGTTTGGAATAAATCAACATGTGGCCTTGATCAAGTTTGAAGGCGGAACAAGAAAAAGAACTTGAATATTATTATTTCTGTGGTTAGGTTCATTTTTCAACCTCCAATTTATATTCGATTTTTAACACTAAACTATGAAATGGTATCGTATTACAGAACATCGTCCAAATGTCGGAACTGAACATATTTAGTTATTTGACTAGTTTCAAAAAACACTTTTCTATTTCTAAAAAGAAAAAAAGGTTCAAATTACTACGTCCAAATATCTCTTATGTCCAAATAACCCTCAAAACTACATTCAATTTAGTTTACTCCCTTAACTATTTTAGTCAGTCCAATTTACCTCTTAATAACAAGATTTTTCTTTTTCGCTTCTCTACACACAAGTTGGATTTTAATTTCAAAATTTGTGAGGTGATAGTGGATACCATAACTTATTTAAAAAAGACATTATGAATTTTATATAATTATGTTTAATACAATTTTGTATTTCTAGCGTTAATTGAAGGAAATAAACTGAATCAAACGATAGTTTATGGGTTATCTGCACATAGGCCATACTTAATAGTAGTATTTTGGACTTTTTCCTTCTGAGAAATAATAAAATATAGATTAATCTTTAAAAAAGTAACTATTTTATTTGAAATCAGCAAAATATGATACAATACCATTTTTCTATAAACGTTATCTATGTTGGTACTTCATTTGGAGTTATTTCTATCTTATTTGTTTATTATCCAAATAACTCCAAATAGAAGACTAATATATAGATAGCATTTTTAGGAAAAAAATCGGTACTAGTTTCATATTTTTTATAATTTTAAATAAATTAGTTATGAATTATACCGATTTTTGAAACCAGTCCAATTTTGACATTTGGAAGGCGTCCTACCTGATTTCATAGTTCGACCTTAAAAGTCGGACCGACATGCAAGTTGAAGATTGAAAAATAAAATTGTTAGAAAATAGTAATCCTAATTGGCGTATATATAGACTTTCACAATGTTTAACTGTTATACAAAGGATTTGTTAGAAAATAGGATATTGTTTGGAAATGAAAGAGCAAGTTTGATCTTCATATTGTGTGGCTTTTTTTATGGAACAGGAGGGCTCAAGACCCATACTGGAATTTTATTAAAATAACAAAAAAATGTCTTACAAACAAGGCTCAAGAAACATAAAAACTTAAAAAGAAAATAGCTAAGATTACACAAAGCCTTCTAGCCATCGAACTATAAAAGGTTGGTAACTAGCTCTTGCTCTTAGAATAAGTGATCAATAACTAAGGGCATATTGTGTGGTTGTGGAGAGCAAAAACGCTAGAGAACTGAGGGCATGATACTGAAAGGCTTGATATTACTGGTTTTGTTTGTTTCCGCTCTCCCAAGAATTGAGCTGCATTTATGTAGCCACAGTCGCCAAGCATCGGTTCGCCCACCACAGAAAATGAGCTGCGCTTCGTTCATCCATTGTGTGAGTTTGTCCATCATTCGCAAACACCTTGTAGTATATAGGTCAATCGAGAATCAGATTTTAACTCCACTGCCGGACAGAGCATCTTTGCCAAGGACATAAGGATTTGCCGAGGGCAAATGCTCGGACACTCGGCAAAGAGTCTTTGCCGAGGGCCGCTCTTTGCCGAGGGTGTGGCCCTCGTCAAAGACTCTTTGCCGAGTGCCAGACCCTCGGCAAAGACAAGCACACGGCAACGATAATTCTTTGTCGAGGGCGGGCCGGCCCTCGGCAACATCGTCTGACACGATTTCCATCCCTTGTCGTCAATCTTTGCCGAGGGCATTACCGTTAGGCTCTCGGCAAAGACTTTTTAACCGTTTTTGAAATTTTTCTTTTTAAAAATTCTTTGCCAAGTGCTCCTGGCCCAGCACTCGGCAAAGACAGTCTTTGCTGAGCGCCAAGCTGTCACTCAGCAAATTTTCAGTTTTTTTTTACCCCAAATTTTTTGTTGGGCCCGCCTACATTGTTTACAACTTTATGTTCAAATTTGGTGCTTTTTTCTAGTTTTTTTGTTATATTTGGTTGATTAATTTGATTATGTTGAATTTTTATATATAATTCAAATTTGAATGGCAAGTGCATGGAATATTGTAATCTAGTGCTTCGAAAAAATGTTATTCATGGTATTTGGTGTATGTTGAGTCTCTATCCACGAACTCGCATTAAATTTCGCGCATCTTCTTCATGTAACATGACGAGCCACTTGCCGGAAAAGTGTTTTAAAATTATATAAAGTCCATATGAAGTCCAAAAATCACAAAACTTGTCGAGGTATCATGTTATCGCATGTGTAGGCTGTGGTAAAAAATTGAGAACGTTTCGAGCAAGTTACGACGTCAGATGCATAAAACCCAGACATCTCCACGTCGCAACTTGCTCGAAACTTGTGGAGATGTCTGGGTTTTATGCATCTGACATCGCAATTTGTTCAAAACATTCTCAATTTTTTACCACAGCCTACACATGCGATAACATGACACCTCGACAAGTTTCGTGATTTTCGGACTTCGTATGGATTTTATATAATTTTAAAACACTTTTCTGGCAAGTGGCTCGTTATGTTACGTGAAGAAGATGCGCGAAATTTAATGCGAGTTCGTGGATAGAGACTCAACATACACCAAATACCATGAATAACATTTTTCGAAGCACTAGATTACAATATTCCATGCAATTGCAGTTCAAATTTGAATTATATATAAAAATTCAACATAATCAAATTAATCAACCAAATATAACAAAAAAAAACTAGAAAAAGCACCAAATTTGAACATGAAGTTGTAAACAATGTAGGCGGGCCCAACAAAAAATTTGGGGTAAAAAAACTGAAAATTTGCCGAGTGCTTGGCACTTCTAAGAAAGACCGCCTTTGCCGAGTGTCGGGCAAGGCACTCGCAAAAGAAAAATTTTAAAAATAAAAACATCTTTGTCGAGGGCCTCTGATCCGGGCCTTCGGCAAAGACCCAAAACCTAAAAACCACGCCGGCCCAAAATTCCCTAAATCCTCTTGCGCCAAGCGCTGGTTCTTACCCTGCCCCACCTCGCCACCACCCACCACCACGCCACCCGCCTCGCCCGCCCAGCCGGCCGTCCCCCTCCCCGACCTCAGCTCCCACCGGCGCCGCCCACACCCCACGCCGCCCCCTCTTCCACCCCAAACCACCACGGCGCCTCCTCAGATGCCCCCGGCACGCCCAGCGCCTTCCCTCAAGGTCTCAAGATCTGCCTCGCCTGGCGTCCCTCACTGGGCTCCCAAGCGTCCCTCATCAAGGCCTTCTGAGCGTCCTCACACAGCACTGACAGACTTGGGAAGCTGCGCGGCCGAGCAAGTCCTAAGCGAGGAGCAAAGTGCAGTCATTGAAGCACCCGTGGCCAAGGCCAAGAGAGCTGCCAAGGCCGCCCACACACACCAAGACCGAGAGCCAGCGCCACGATCCGCTCCCGGTCGACGAGGTACGCCGCCGCTGTCCATCAATCTATAGTTGTTGAACTGCTGGTGGTGTCGCCCAAGTGGCGAAAAAAATAAACTTATATTGTCAGATGTGTATTTAGACTACTTGTGCATGAAACCTTTGAATCATACTTACAGTATTATATCGATTGTCAAATGGAATTACACTTTGATCAGTATTGCTATGTTGTGTCTGTGTTCATTTGCATCCCACTGCAACACCCCCCCCTCCTGGTTTCTTTGCAAAAAAAATACAGAGCTCTATTTTCATTTTTATGCATCACACCTGTTTATGTAGTGGGCAAAAACACAGATCAAGCAGAGAATGAAAAATCGATGCAGGACCATAGAGCACCTTGCTATCTAACAAAAGAAAAAGCATCCTCTCAGGAAAAAAAGGGACAAAAGAAAAAACTGAGAGGCAGCCCTACTGAAGAACTTGGCACTGCTAGTCACCAGCGCAGATAAAAAAACAAATTGCAGATACATAACAAATATATTACTTACTTTATGCATATCTAATATATTGATTGGGCTAATCTATTGGTTTGAACTGAGCAATTAAACCAGAATTGGACATTTGGACGCATCCAGCCACCCAGCCAGGATAGGACGCAGGGAGACAGCCGTGGCAGCTGCCAAGCTATAGCTGTCCGCCGACCAGGAAAATTGGCTGCCAGCTGGGGAAAGGAGGCTTCAAGTGATTAAACCATAATTTTCAGCGTTTAGACATAGCAACTTATAGCGGAATGACCAAGGAAACTAAAAAGCTACCCTGTCACGGTTATTACACCCCTAACTGAACAACTCAGTTTCCTGGTAGTGGTACCATGACCGGTGCCAGAACACAAGCTAAAAGGCAATTCATCATTCATGTTTTCAGAAGCAACATATATGAATGGGGAAAAAACCCATGGTACAGGGACAATAAATAAAAGAAGCTATGACACTCAGATTGGTAAGGTAGGTAACAGGTAGCTGTGAGAACTTTGCACAATGTCAACCAAATTCAGAGTTAGTTAACTAATATATGCTAATAGGTAGTACATGCCAACGTTACTACATTAGGCAGTACTGCAGTAGTACTGCTCATTATCTGACAAAGGGAACTGAAAATAACATAAACAGAACATGTTAAGATATTGTAAAGGCAGCAGAAATATTGCGAGATCACTACACCCCTGGACCCTGGCATGTTTAGTTTTGCTAGAGCAATTATTCAGTACAGATCATGATGCTTGCTCAACACTTGCCTTGCCCCCGTTCTGATTACATAAAAATTGCGTTTGGCAGGAATAAAACTGGGATAGCATGCCATAATTTAATCTAGGATAATGCAGCATGATCCATATTTTCTGTAACAAAAACACGCTGAATAAAACTGAACAGTGATCGTGATTCCATATATCTTTTTTTGCATACCTCTTGAGCTTGCCAAATGACCCATCATGA